ATAATTAATTGACATATTACTGATCTTGCTGGATTTTATTCTGCTTTACTTCCATAAATTGCAGGATCTTCTTTACTTTATCTTTGCCAGAAGATTTAAACTTTAAAAGCCTTGCCCTAATAATTTGCAAGTTAATTTATTTATAAAGAAAATATAAACGCTACATGGTTTCACGTAAATAAAGAGGTTAATATAAAATTATCATCGATTAATCGAAAAAATAATCGGCCGATTCATTGATTTTTTAAATAATCGTTAGTTGCAGCCCTAATATATATATATATATATATATATATATATATATATATATATATATATATATATATATATATATATATATATATATTTACACATACACACACACACAGCAGAGACACAAGTGATAATAAACTGATCGTCAAAATTATTGTTAGTCGCAACTAGGGCCGCAACAACGAATCGAAAAAAATCGACTTTTAAAAGAAGGAATTTCATCATCGATCAGTTTTGTCGCCAATTAATGCGTCATCTGCCGTCATCATTGCCACTTGACTGAAATAGGGAGAAAAAAAAAATACGACAGAGCGAGCGCTGCAGGTGAGCAATGGCTGTTTTCAAAAGCCAATAACGTCAACTGCTCTAATGACCGATTACGCAAAGGCAAGCTGCTTCTCAATCCGCAGGCTGCGTCCTTCCTGCGGATTGAGACGCGGATTGAGATGCAGCAGTTCAAGCAAAGTCCTCTAAAGTGTGGGAGAATAAAGATAAAGTAAAGAGATCCTGTATTTTATGGAAGTGAAGCAGAATAAAATCCAGCAAGATTCATTACATGCCACATTCCCATGTAAATATCTGTCTTTGGAGGATGTGTTTTTTAGCACCCCTAGTTCTCTCATTTTTATTCCAAATACAATTTATAATTTGAATCACAGGGCTATTTTTATCTCTATGGTTCAGTATTTTCTCAAGTAGCAACTTTAACTGCTATACTTTCCTGTCTTAAAAGGCAGAACTCTTCTAGTTTATAAAAAACCTCATTTGTTGAAATGGGAGACATATTTGAAGAGTTAATTCAGAAAGTTAATTTAAATATTTCTACTTTACAGTAATGGAAAATGAATTAGCAATTAATTCAATATTTAAAATTTAAAGGGCACATAAACAATTTTAGAATTTTTTTAAATTAAGACCACAACTTTTCATTTATGTCTGTAGATGGATAAATGAGTAGGTTTCAAAAATGCAATACTACTGCAGAACTCATTCTTTGAGAAAAGTACTTATAAATCCAAACATTTCTAATTATTTACACAAAATATTAAATTGTTGAATTCCACCCCTGCAGCATGTCAGCAGAAAACTACAGTGTCCTGTCCTTCTCATGACAGAAGAAAACAACAACCAATGACAAGCTTCATGGTGGGAAAGACAGCAAGCAGCTGTCTTGACTGAGAGCAAACTTCACATGATGGTGAACGATCCAACCATGATTGTTTGGAGATATTTATCCTATTGTTTCAACCCCTTAGGGGCTTTAAAAACAAAAATGCCTGTCTTTTTTTGCGCTTTATGAAACAAAGTACCCTATAATTTGTGGATGTACAGCTACATTTCTCATGTAAGTTTGCGTAGTTTTAACACAAACATCTATTTTTCATATTGCAACAGTACAATTAATGAGCAACTTGTGTGCCTGTTTGTTCTGTCTTATTTTGGAATAAAGAGGTTAATATTAAAAATATTTTTTGTCCGATTCATCGATTAATCGAAAAATTAATCGGCCGATTAATCGATTTTAAAAAATAATGGTTAGTTGCAGCCCTAGTTAATACCTTTATTCTTCCAGTACGGAAAGTTTATCATATTGTTTTGTAGAATGTCTGGGTTATTCCAGATGGGTGTACGACTTCACGGGATAAATGATGACTTCGTTACTTTTAGAAATTCCCACCATACTGTCAGGGAAGAGCTGATGTTAATATTTTTAAAACATGGCTGCCGTTTGATATTATAGTATGACCTAATCTGCCAATCAGTCGATTTTAAAGTCTTCCAAGGATGCGGTCTACCTGGAGTGGATCCTTCCAAAATAAGATGACCAGAGGAGTTTTGGATGTGGACTAATAATGTCCATAGCTGGATATTGGGGTGCTGGTGTCTATGTCCAGCTGTCTACGGGCGAGAGGCAAGGTCCACCCTGAACAGGTCCCATTCTAACAAATAAAGGGATTTTCTATGCTATTCTATAAAAGGGGTAGAAAGACAAGCAAATCTAAACGATGTATGTATAAAAAATATATCTGCAAAATTTCTTGTATCCATCAACAAAAAATACTTAGTAAAGCAAATTGTGCAAACATTTTTCATATTGCAGCAGTACAGTTAATGAGCAACTTGTGTGCCTGTCTAAAATGTTTATTTTGGAATAAAGAGGTTAATATTAAAAATATTTTTTGTCTGATTCATCGATCGATTTTTAAAATAATCGTTAGTTGCAGCCCTAAAATGTATACAGTTAAATTAAAGTATTTTAACACATTTCAGCAAACCAGCGGAACTGACGTCTGAATGCGAGTGTTTCCACCGCCATCAGTTCGCCGTTACACCCGCTGCCAAATGAGTTCAGTGATCGCTCTATGAGGACCTAACTGTTCACTTACTGACCCAATAAGTTGGTTTAGGACGGCTGTGATGTGGCGGAGCCTCCGGCGGGCCGGTTGGGCCTCAAGTCAAAGAACCACAGCTACCTCCAGCTTACGTTAGCTAGGCTATTAGCAGCTATGTTAACTTTAGATGACGACAAGTGTAGGAAATTATCCTAAAATGCGTATTAATGGATCACGTGTGGTAAGCTTTCAGTAAAAGTCCCCCCATGTTCATCATCTAAGTTGATAATGCTGAGAGAAACAGCCAAACATACCTTTTGAATAAAGACTCACGTCTTAAACTGAAGTGAAGACAGACGCTTCTCTCCTCCAATGTCACCGACTAGAAGCAGGTTGTGCAACCGCTCAGATGTTCGACGTAAGCTGGTTGCGTCATGACGCAAAAGCCTACCGCAAACAAAGCGGTTGGCCCGTTGCAGAGACGTAACCACGTCTATGGCAGGCCATATTGATATTTACCAGCTTGACTGAATATATATTTCAGACGTCTCAAATGCAGTTTTTCTAAGTCAAAATTAACATTTCAGATATCTAAAATAACATTCCTCCCATATAAATAAAACATTTCAGATATCTAAAATGTAATTCTTCGTAGTACAAATGGCGTCACGTTTCCCATTCATGTGTATTGGGCCTTTACTTCCAGACATCTAAAATAACATTCTTTCTATTTAAAATAAACATTTTTCTATCTGAATTCTGACGAAGATGAATTCTAATTTCACATCTCCATAATAGAGTTACTCATTACTCATAATTAGTATTTCAGATAACAAAAATAAATATAACATTACACATATCCAGAAATCCAATTCTTGATAACTATTTCTGCTAGTTCGAATATAATTACAGCATCTACGACTTATTTTTGACTAGTTAAATTTGACTTCCAGATATCTCAATTTTAATAATGCCTTTTTTGAAATTTTAATAAATGTCAAAAGGGCCACTTAAAATTTGTAAAGATTTCTTTGTATTTGAAAGGTTATTCTTACTAGAACAATTATATTTTTGGCAGCCTGAAATGTAATTTTTGCTCGCAAAAATGTAATTTAGGATATCTATATGTACATTTCTGCATAGTGGGAATGTAGTTTTTATTTGAGAGAAATTGAACAATAGAGACCTTGCCTCTCACCCATTGACTGCTGGAAATAGGCACCAGCACCCCTTGCGACCCCACTCGGGACAAGCGTGGCAGATAATGGATGGATGGATTGAACAATAGAGAGGACAGCACTTTTAATAAATGTGAAATGGGCTTGCCATACTTGTCCGCCATAACGTTGGAGTAAACGTGACTGTGCTGTTAACTAACCCATTATTTAAGAAAGGACACTTAACACAGACATACATGTCAGTTATCTAAACACTAGTGATGGGCCCGGTAACACCGATGCATGGCGCAAATAGACCAAAACATTGTATCGGTGGGCGTATCGTTTCAAGAAAGTGATGTGACCGATAAAGGAATCGTTTCTAACTGACTGACACCACTGATCTCTATTTATTCACTGGATTGCTGATTGCCTGTTGGTAGTTTGGGATTGAAGTGAAGCCATAGGCCGCCATATTGGTACTCCCTAGTTAGACCAGTCACAAAGTAAACAATATTCTAGGTTAGATTACATTTTTATATTTAAGAATGATTTGTTTAAAATCAAATCCTGTGAAATTGGTCGCTGTACAATTTCTGATCATCCAGTTTATGCTGATATTTGTCTGAACAGGAGAAATAGAACCACCTTATGGAGGTTGAACACAAATATTTTAAACTATCCAAATATTAAAGAGAATTTAAAAAAGAAACAGAGAATTATTTAACTCAAAATGATAATGAGGAGGTGTCACCAGTAATATTATGGGATGCAATAAAGGCGGTGATTAGAGGGAAAATATTTAGCATATCCTCTGACCTAAAAAGAGAAATTATGCAAAAATGTAAATACTTGGAAGATAAATTGTTAAAGCTGCAACACCAACACTGCATGAAAAGTGAGATTTTCGTCCCCGTAAACCCCCGTAAACTCCCACAGATCTGCCTGATTTTCGTCAGTTTCCAACAATTTGCAACCCGTGCTTGTCCGCGTTTGTCGTGCCACAAATTGTCGAAAACG